GCAGGCCGCGGAGCTCGGGAAGGGCCGGGAGCTCCAGGAGCCGCTCGCGCACGGCCGGGGCGCTGCACAGATCTCGGGTGCCGCAGCCGCGCACGCTCACGTTCCGGCGGCCTGCGGGGACACGGAGGGGGACGTGGGGGCGCCCGCGGCACCGTGACACAGTCACTGAAGGTTCTCGTCCCTGGCCCGCCGCCGATGGTCACCGCTATCCCCTTGGTTACACGTGCTAACAAAAGGGATGGCCCCCAGCTTGTCTGCTGCAGGCTTTCCAACTTTTTCATGTGCATCTCAGAGTCATTTCTACGAGGCGAGGCGGTATATTTATGTGTGGCTATAAACATGTAAATGTACCCGGTTTATTGAAAATGTAGCAGGGGAGCCAGGGATATAGCTCAGCAGCACAAACGCTTGCCTGGTAAACGCAAGGTCCTGAGTTCGATTCCCAGTACCAAAATAGATAAATAAATAAATAAAACATAACAGGGGCTATGTAGATAAAGTAGTCTTTTTATAATTTAAGAATTGCTGGAGTTCACTATCTTTTAGAGAGATGTAGATGGGTGAAGCAATATCTAAATTAGCTTCAAATATTCAGGTCAGTGTGGAGATGGGTGGGGTTTACATAGGCTTTATTAAACTTCTGCTTTTATTTGTATTTGAACTTCCTTATAATTTAAAAAAAAAAGTTAAAAAGAAATGCCAAACTGGGTGTGGTATGTACACATGTAATCCCAGTATTCTGGGAGGCCGAGGCAGGAAGACTGCAAGTTCAAGCCAGGCCTAGGCAATTTAGTGACCTAGTGAGACCCTATCTCAAAACAGAAATAAAAAAAGTGTTTGATATGTTGCTCAGTCAAAGGCCCTGGGTTCAATCTGGGTTCCCAAAAAAGAGGGAAAATAAAGTAATGTCGGACTCAGGGCTGTGATTCATATTTGTCTCATTTTGCCCTGAGCAGATGTACATGCCCTGGGAGTTGTGTTTGTGAGTCACTGCATAGACCACTCTCGTGAATACCCGCCAGACACCCACACCCACACATGCATACACACACACACACACCTCAATCGCACACAGCTCCGCTGATGTCCCTGAGGCCTGCACCCAACACACACACACACACACACACCCACACACACACACACACACACCATCCTGAGCACGGACAGGCACACTCTCCCCAGAGCCTCACACAGGCACGCACAGAACGCTCCCCAAGTATGCCCAGCACAGCCAACCCTGGACAATGAGTAGAGGCTCGTGCAGTCATGGCCACGGCCGCTCACTGAATCTCATCAGTTCCAAGATGCACGACCCTCCCCGCTCCACCGATCCACACAGTTTAACACTCCTGAACAGAGCTGCCTTCTTCCTTCCACTGACACGGGCTCTTAGGCACTGCAGTGCCACACGTGCCCCTGGCTGTGCTCCGGACCGCGGCGCTCCCGTGGTAATCACTAGGTGCGCGTGGCGTGGCTACTGAGCACTTGAGATGTAGCGAGGCTGAACTGACACGTGTTGTGAGTAAAGATAAACACCGGATTTCAAAGACTTCGGAAAAACTGAATGCAAGAGATCCCATTTAAAATTCCTAGTACTGATTGCAAGTTGGAAATGATAAGTGTTGGATATTTGGGGTTAAATAAAATATGCTATTAAATTAATTTCCTATTACTTCTTACTTTTTTAATGAGACGACTGGAAAACTTTAAATTGTACGTGTGACTCACATTATACTGTTTTCAGAAAGCACTCACTGAGAAGTTTAATGGGTTGTCTAATTCTCACAGCAGTCTTATGACTTAGAGCAGGCTTATGACTATATATATATATTTTTTTGGTCTTTTTGAGACAGCGTCTCTCTATGAAGTTCAGGCTAGCCTTGAGCTCGCTTGTTACCCCAGGCTGGCCTCAAACTCGCAATGATCCTCCTGCCTCAGCCTCCTAAGTGCTGGGATTACAGGCTTGTGCCACCACACCAGGCATTTAGAGACTATTATTTTCTACTATATCAGATGGAAAAACTGAGGTACAGAGAGGCAGTCGCCTGCCCAAGGTCACCCAGCCTGTAAGTCCTGAATCTAGGATTTGATCCTGGGCAGCTTGGCTGTGGAGTTCTGCTCTTATACCCTCTACTCTATTGCTTCTCTCATGAGCTCACTTTGTCCCCACAAAAACCTGTGAAGTGTGTGTCCATCATCCACATTTACCGGAGAGAGAACCACGGGTCAAAAAGATGAATTCGCTGCCTCAGGCCATGCAGAGTAAATGAGGGGCATGAGAGCCCAAACTCAGGCACGTCTTTATCCAGAACCAGTGTGCTTGGGCTCACTCGTGCACACACGTACACACACACACACACACACACACACACTGCACATACACGGCCTCCGTTACCTTCATCTGATGTCAGGTCCAGCTGGACACACTGGGTCTCCCCACGGGGACACTGCATGTAGAAGGAGGAGCTGCAGGACCCGAGCTGGCTCTTCAGGCATGTAGGACACAGGTACTTGCTCAAGGCTGGCAGAGCTGCTGTACACGGCAGGATACGGCTGGGACTTTCAGGACCTCCCAAGCCTTGGGTACACCCAGGCTAGGCCATAGGGGACTTGACTGAGGGCTCCCGCTGAGCTGGGGGCAGGGTGACTTAGGGAAACCTGACTGGGAGTGGGATTGAAGGATCTCCCTGTCCACCTTCCTTCCTCACCTGAGGACAAGCTCACCTCCAGAGTCACCCCACCATCTCCTCAGCCACCATCGTACTGCGCTCTGGGGGCAACGTACCGAGCTGAGTGGGTTTCTGGCAGTCGCCCTGGCAGCAGGTGGTGTTGACCCAGAAGCCAAGGCCGAGGCCATAGGTCAAGGCAGAGGTGGAGTTGTTCAATTTGCAGTCCGTGGAGGCCACACAGGAGCCATTTCTCCAGGAGACGGAATTTCCATCCCCAAGGGCTGGAGAGATGTGGGGGGCAGGCTGATGAGGAAGGCAACCATGACCCAGTACCCAGCGGCACCTCTCCAAATCCCTCTGGATGTCACCTTGTTGGCATTCACTCTGCCCGAGATTCCCCCATACACACACACCCATAACTCATCCAAAGCTGGTCATTGCTCAGGAAGACACATTTCAGCAAACCTTTCTTGATACATTGCCTTGTTGTTTAGGACTCCAGTGAACGTGGTGTGACCTTTGTGCCTGTGAGACTTCCCCAACCTGCCTACCAGCACACTATGAGGTTGCCGAACACTTCTATGGGCACCCGGAAGTTCCCAGCACTGGAGCCTGCTACCCTGTCTTTACTCTTCCTGTTTATGTTGCTAGAAGGCAACTAAGAACTGGTTTCCAGTTCCACTCCACTGCCATTTACGGAAGAGTACAGTTCTCCCATTTATGGGGGCAGCTGGACAGGACCTCCAGGGTGCTCCCTGCCCAGAATGGTGTCATAGATACCGAAAGGGCCACAACTGTATTTCTCATCCTGGGGACGTTTGTGAAACATGACTTTGCCACTCCCTTATCAAGAGGTGGAATCTATTTCCTCACCCCTTAGATCTGAAATGTGCTTATGACATGCTCTGGTCAGTAGACCGAAGCACAAATGAATCTGTGCCAGGGCTGAGCCCATCTCTTAAGAGGCCTGGTGTGTCCACTTCTTTCTTTTTGGTGGCCAGCAGTGACCTTACTCTGAAGAAGCTCAAGCCAAACCACCAGCAGTAGGACATTGTGGAGAGAGCCCCTGAAGTTGGAGAGGCTGTCTCAGGCACTCCCGGCCACACAAGTGACCTTGGAGTTCACCTTTAAGAGCAGAAGAGCTGCCCGGCTGAGCCCAATCAGGGGAGAATCATGAGAAATAACAAATCACTGTTTAGTGGCTGGGGATTTAGCTCAGTGGCACAATGCCTGCCTGGCAAGCTCAAGGTCATGAGTTTGATTCCTGGTACTGGAAAAAAAAAAAAAATGACACCCCACCAAAAAAACAAATCAATGTTTAAAACTACAAAGTTTTTTGTTTTTGTTTTGTCTTTTTGAGACGGGATCCTGCTATTCGGTTCAGGCTGGCTGTGAGCTTACTTTGTAGCCCAGGCTGGTCTCAAACTCATAACGATCCTCCTGCTTCAGCCTCCTGAGTGCTGGGATTACAGGTGTATGCCACCATGCCCGGCCTTAAAAACTAAGAGGTTTTTAAAATTCTGGTTTAAAAGAAACACAGCATAAAGCTTACCCTCTTAGCCATATTTAAATGTACATTTTGGTAGTCTTAACTATATTCACATGGTTGTGTAACAGAGCTCTAGAACATTTTCATTGTGCAAAACTGAAACTCTGTGCCCATCAAACAACCCATTCCTTTCTCCCACAGCCCCTGGCAACCACTGTTGTACTTTGTGTTTCATGATTTTCACTACTGTAGATGTCTCACCTAAGTGCAATCGTACAGTATTTGTCCTTTCGTGACTGGTGAAGTCATTAAGTTTTGAGCTGATTGTTCTTTTGCAATAACTAAAACATGCCATTGGCTTTTGCTTTATAGAGCTTCTGCCCTGCGGGGCCAGGAAAGTTGAGGCTGCAAACTTAGGAGGGCACAGAGAGGTCTTGTGTACTAGGTCCTGTTTCTGCCCCCATGGGCACTCACCGGCGATGCCTGCTGTCCTAAGGCAGTAGTTCCTGTCCTCCGGACAGGGGAGAGGATCACAGCGGTGGAGGTCTGAGCAGGTGAAACAGATGGTGGCCTTCGGGTTGGTGTGGATCACAGCTGCGTGGGGGCCTGGAGAAAGAAAGATAACCAGCATGTGTGAATATGTGTGTAGGATCATGTGTGTGCATGCAAGTCTCCAGGCGCATCAGTATTGCCTTTGAATGTACAAAAGTGTCCTTGTGTATGTCCTTCTGCAATGACACTGTTTGTGGGGCTGAGTATGAGAGGCTATTTCTTGGGGTGCACATCTGGCTGTGTGCATCTGTGTTGAATTGCCTCTGTGTTTCTTCAGTTGTCTGTGAGGGGATAAAGGTGTGTGTGTATGCATGTGTGTGTGTGTGTGTGTGTGTGTGTGTGTGTGTACTCCCATGGGCCCTGCATGAGTAGGTATCTACAAAATGCATATGAGTATGAACAGACGTGTGTGTTTTTAAGATGGGTTGTGTGGACCTGTGTGTTTCTGTGACTTGAAATGTCTGTTGCCGACCAAGTTTAGGGTGCTTGGATATGTTGGTGTGCAGCTGGAGGTATGTGTGGATGTCAGTAGCAACTACGTATAATTTGTGCTTCTGTATGTTTGTATATGTTTCCACTGGTCTTCCCCGGCCCCTGAATATGGATTTGAGAATCAATATGTTCACGTGTGGACACTTTACATGTCTGTGTCCACGGGAACTGTATATGTAAAAATTCCATGTTCCGTGTTCCTGTGGTCAGCAATCTTATTTTGCCCTTTTACTTTCCCTATTGTAAATTTCAAGTTCCCAATCTGCCCCTTTTTTTTTTTTTCATTGTGATAATTAACTTAATCCACTGAGTAGTTTTAAAAAGTAAACCTGTCAGCAGCTGGGAATCTGAGAAAGCGGAGGTGAGACTATTCCTGCTTTGCCTGCAGATTCAGGAAGCGGATCCTATTCTGCCTCGATGAATGGTCCTTGCTAAGAAGTTTCTAAAAAAAGCATCTTCACAGAGCTGGAGCTGAGAGAATGCTGCTCTGTCCGGGGAAAACTGCCTTTCTCACCTATGAAACCGCTAATTCTGTAAAACTGAATCACTTCATAAACTGTTGCCTCAGGAAATACTCTTTCAATTAGCATGTCTCTTTTCCGGAAGGAAAAAAACTGTTGTGAATGCTCTTTGGTAATCCAAACGAAGACTATTTGCAAACCTGTCTTCTTTCACAAGCAAGACAGTAAAGAAAAGAAAAATACTATCAGAGTTATTCCTTAAATGATTTTGAATCTCTAATCTCACTTAAAGCAAAGGGTGTTCCTGTTTGAAATTCATGTGCCTCTGCAGATGTGTGGTGGATGTTGGGATAGAGGGTGGGCGTTTAATCGACTGCGGCGGCACACGCCTGTAATCCCAGCACTGTGGGAGGCTGAGGCAGAAGGTTCATAAATTTGAGCCCAGTCTGGGCAATTTAGCAACTTAGTAAGACCCTGTCTCATAATTTAAAAAATAAAATAAAATAAAAGGGGCTAGAGAATGGAAGGACCTAGATTCAGTGCCCAGTACCGCAGTCGGTCAATCGTGGATTTGTGCCAAAGGATAAATGGGTGTGTGATTCCGAGTAAATGCACTTCTTTCGTAAGGTGAGGGACAAGGTTCCCTGGGAATACAGTGCTGGAAAGAGCACACGGGACCCAGGGAAGGTTGTGAGGATGGCGTCAGGAAGAGCACCTGGTTTTGTGGGAGGAGCCTGGGGCTTGCAATCGGGCTTGGAGATGAGGCGGAATCCAGACTTCTTTGGGCCCAGAGTGTCATTCACCTGCAGGTGGCAGACGTCTGGTGTAGCACAGCCCTTCAGGATTTGAGGACCCGCTGCAGAAACAGGAGAGGCTGTCAGGAGAGGCCCGGAGCCCAAGCCTCCCAGCTCGAGATCTCTCTTTTTCTGTCTGAATGTTCCTGTCTCTTGCTGACTTCTATCTGATTCATTTTCAAATCTACCTTACTATGTTCTACAACTTTTTATTTATTTATTTATTTGTTTGTTTGTTTGTTTATTTATTTAGCGATTCTAACTTTATTCCTTCAAATATATTGCGGGGAGGTAGATTATGCTCTGTACCTGAGACTGCAATAGCTGAGCTCCTCAAGGTAAACATCTATGGCTTGTGCTTTCTGCTCGCCCATGGTGCTTGCTTCCTTGTACATTTCATGAGCTGATTGTGAGCTGCTATTTGGTTGATGATCTGAGGGAATCCCGGGGGCACTTCTCCCTGAGAGGATTTGCTTTTGCTAAGATGGTGCTGCCAACCTGGGATCTTTCCAGCTTCCTTCCAAGGTCTCTCTGGCTTTTGTGTAAATCTAAGGGTCAGCTTCCCAACCATGCTGCTGTCCTAAGACCTGTGTACCCAAAGCAGGTTGCTATCAGTGTTTGTTCTTCTGGCTCCTATGCCTTTTGTATTGTTCATTGCTCTTGCTCTGATTTCTGCTTACCTTTTTGTTTTGTGTAGGAACACTTGAACATTTCCCTAACTTCTCAAAATCTCCCAACAGCATGGGGGAAAATAGTTTTGTAAAGGTTTGGTTCACCTGTAAACAGTGGCATGCCAAATGCAGAGGGTGGCCAGTGGGAGCAGCCCATCATGAAAATAGGCTGTAAAGAGATGTGTTGTCTGTATTGTCTTGGAAAAATATCATTATCAACTTCAGGTCAATCTGGTCTCTATTATCACCATGAACCAGCAATTCTGACACCAATAATATAATACTCATTCCTGCCCCAACACTTTCAAATCCCTGCTACTGCTGGCAGTAGAAGCCTAGGCCACTTTTTTCTGTTCTTGTGTTGGCATCAGAGTTAGTCTGTTCTCTGGCCAGAATGATGCTATCATAAGCCTTTTCTGAAAAAGCCTCCTCTGCCTCAAATATTTGCAAGCACGTGGAGGTGATTTTTAAATACTTCCGTGAATTCTCAGAGACATCAACAAGAGGCATTGGTGCCTCTTCTCCCCACCACCTCCTGAAATCAGATGGACTTTTGCCACCCCTTGAATCAATACACCATGGCAGAAGTAACAGTGTGACTTCCAAGCCTTAGTCATAAAAGTCCAGGCAGTTGCCACCTCATTTGCTGGATGGAGTCTTCTACCAGCAAATGAGGTCTTGATATACCTTGGGTCCAAGTCAGCTACCACAGAAAGGGCCCTGAGGGCGCCATGATGTGAGGAAGCCCCACCTAGCCCATGCAGCAAGATAATGTAGAAAGACCCCAAGACTCACATCTGAGAGATGCTCAGCCTGGTTGGTCTTAGCCCTGCAGCCCCAGCTCCAGCCACCTTCCAACTTGAGGGACCCAGAACTGTGTATCTGAGTTCCCCCTGACTCCCCAACCTACAGAAACTCTTAGAATAATAAAATGATTGTCATCTGAAGGCACAGAGTTTGCAGGTGATTTGTTGAACAGCAAGAGCATAATAGAACACATGCAAAGAGTATTGGCATATTGATGCAAGGGAGAGGGAGGTTTTCCATGCAAATGACCTTCTGAAGGGAAGGAGCCCTTACCTCCACTCCATGTCCCATTGAGGGTGACACACTTGGTCTGGTTCCCAGTGCAGTTCATGACCGAAAGGGAGTCACACGGGGCTGATTTATTCCCAGAACAATATTGACACGTCACATGGTTGGCCTTGGGCCCTGGCTCTGGCGAGATGGAGGTAATCAGAGTGCAGTGGAGGCTGAGGATCCCCTTCCCAGCCCTCCTTCCCCACCAGCCCTCTGTTCTCCTGCCCTCCTCTCTCCCTGCCTTCCCCTTTCCCCAGAACCACCCAGATCATTTATCTCCAAAGTGGGACCAGCTTGGTCTCAACTGCCTCCTTCCAAGCCCTGAAAACGTATTCTCAGAAGCAATGAACAGAGCAGCTCATTTGTCCTAAAGAAACCACCAGGCTGAATCCTAGGGGTTATTTTATTCATTCCACAAACATTTCTTGAGCACTGTGTAGCAGGCATTCTAGGTCCTGGAGACAGCAGTGATCACACAGATGAAAGACCTCCCTTAGAGACCTTGAACTCCAAAAGTGATTAAAAAGAGATGCTGTTCTTTCAGGTTTAAGGTGCTGTAATATTCTGCAAAAGAGCAGAACTCTGCCTTCCAGGTTCATCACTGTCTGATTAATTTTGAAAATTTCCCCCGAGATCCGAAACATTTAAGAGGAAGCCACATAAGTGTATTTTTCTCCGAGTCAAAACTCAGTCGTACACTGGGCGTGGCGGTGCACTCCTGAAATCCCAGGACTCAGCACTGAAGCGGAGGCAGGAGGTGTGCTCCCTTCAATCTTTTTTTAAATTTTATTTTTTTGCAGTACCAGGGATCGAACTCACGACCTTGCGCTTGCCAGGCAGGCGCTTATGCCACTGAGCTATATCCCCAGCCCCTCCCTTCAATCTTTCATCATAAATAGGAGAGTTTTCCTTCTGCAGTTATCATCCTAACTGGCATTTTATATGCTGAAGAACATGCCCGGGTCTCAGCTTGGACCTGGCAGGATTTTGCTGAGATCCACAATTTAGAAGGAGGGAAACTGCAGTTGTCTGGAAGGATGCCAAGGAGCCCTGAGTGCTGGATCTCCCCATTGCCACCTCTGCCAAATACCAATTCCTTCCTTGCAGAAACAACCACGCATCAAAAAATTATCTTGATCACCACCCAAGGCCTGGTCTAGGTTGACACCAAGAGCACAAAATCTAAGGAGGACCCGCCCTCGGGGTCAGGCAAGCACGAAGCCCGCACTGCAGCTGAGCGCCTCCTTAACTTCGGCGCCGTAGGCTCCTGGCTGGGCTCACCCTGGACTGGGGCTTGTCAGCACCCTAACACCTGTTCTGCCCCACCAGCCTTGGGGGAAGGTGAAGAGGAGGCTCTGCAGAGATAACAAGAGTTCTGCGCTTCTCCCCAGGCCCCAGTAATTCCATGAGCACAGCTACAAAACACAGAGTACCTACTGTGTGCCAGATAAGGGGACACACCCCTATAAAACTGATTCCAAACCTTCTTACAGATGAGAAAACAGGTGTACGGTTTTTTTTTCCCAACCCAAAGTTTTTTCACTGAGCTGTATCACCAGTCCTCACCTTAAAAA